GCCCTTTCTTTCTCCGGGGCCAAGCTGCTCGCACAACGACGCAATGAATCACTGCGATTCGGCTGAAGGTCAAGCTGGCAGGGCAACTCTTTCGCCGCCCGCCGAGTGCTTTTTGACCCGACAGGCGGCTGAGCTCGGCCTCGAGCACCCCTCGTGTGTGAGGCTCCTCTCGAGAATTCACGCACGGCAAGTGTCGGAACGCACCACCCCAGCAGCACTCATGTGGTGCCCGCAGCATCAACTTTGTGTCGAGCGGTGAGGGGTCATTGCTAGAAGAAATTGTGCAGGGGCCGTCCCCCCATCATTGCAGGGAAACATGCAGGGGGCGAAGTGGCTCAAGGGGGAAGCGTCGACCTGGAATCGGCGAGGAGGAGGAAGAGGGGGAGGGGGAAGGGGGAGGGGAGGAGGGGGAGGATGAGGAGGAGGAGGAGGAGGAGAAGGAGGAGGAGGAGGAGCATTCGGAGAGGAGGAGGAGGAGGAGGAGAGGAGGAGGCGGAGGAGGAGGGGATCGGAGGCGGAGGAGGAGGAGGAGGAGGAGGAGGAGGAGGATGGAGGAGGAGGAGTGAGGAGGAGGAGGAGATGAGGAGGAGGAGGAGGAGGAGGAGAAGGAGGAGGAGGTATGGAGGAGGAGGAGGAGGAGGGGGGAAGAGGAGGAGGAGGAGGAGAGGTGAGGAGGAGGAGGAGGAGGAGGAGGGAGGAGGAGGGGGAAGAGGAGGCGGAGGATGGAGGGGGAGGAGGAGGAGGACCGTATGTGATGCGGCGTGTCTGAAGAGTGTAGGAGCGAGGAGGAGGGAGGAGGAGGAGGATCGCCCGTGGATCGGCGATAGACCCCCTACGGGGAATGCGCACGTTCCTGGGCGGGGCGGGTCCACTCGGCGATCCACGGGCCAGCGGGGGTCGATGCGTCCCCCCTATGACCCTGTCCCCCCCCCAAACGTCGCCCCCGAGCTTCGGCATCCTGCAAGCTCAGTGCGGGCCACCATCAGAAGTCAGAATGGCATCACGCAGCTTGACGTTGTCGACCGCGCGGCGCCAGAGGGCATACATGACCACTATGAGGACGACGAGCAGCATCCCAACGGCCACGTACACCGCACCGATCCGGTTCGCTCCCACCACGCCTTGATAGGAGCCAGCACACGCCTCTTCCTCCTCCTTGCTTTGCAGGGAAGAGGAAGTATTCAATCCTCCTCCTCCATTCTTCTCCTCCTCCTGCTCCTACGCCTTCGCTCGCATTTTCTCAGGAGGCTGAGCGTGGGGTTGTGGCCGCTTTCCGCTCGTCACGGCAACGGGTAGGTACATGATAACCTCGCCGACTCAAGCGTAGGACCACCCATGGGGGCCAATCAGGAAGGGAACAACTTCGGGAGGGCGCCGAAGTAACAAAGAGTGCCAGGTTTCCGCGGAAGAGAAAAAAACCCTGGCGAGGGGGTCGAGCACGGGGGTTGCCCCCGTCTCCGTCTCAGAATCTGGGAAAAGAATAAACTCTCAGCCGCGGGGGTGCTCGCGCGTGGGGTCCCACCCCCCCAGCGCCAGAGGAGGAAAAGTGCGGGGGCCCAGATTGCCAATGCAATGCAGCAACACGCTACTAGGCACACTCTGACATGAACTGCACGCCATTGCATGTACCAGCTGTACGCAAGAGCGAAGTGTACTCTAATCCGAGGGCTTCGGGGGTCCAATGGAAAGGCGCGGGCGGATAAAAGGAAAGACACCCACTCGCCGCCAGGGGTCCGAGGTTTAACAGCCCGCCGCGAAGAAGAATACCCCGCGGAAAGAAGGAAATCATTCCGGCCCGGGGGTTGGGGGATCCAGGCATGAGTCGGGGACGTGATGTAGGTACATCGCCGACCAGCCATAACTGGGGGAGCTGTGGTCCTTACCCCTCTGGGGGGACCCATCGCCTCGACGATCTCTCGAGAGGGGCGTCGAAATCGATGGGTCCCCCAGGGGGGTAAGGACCACAGCTCCCCCAGTTGTGGCTGGCCTGCCTCGGTCGACTTCTCCTGGCTGCGCCCTTGCCACGGCAGGGGCACGCCGGAGTGCGGGGCGGCCGCCGCGGCCCGGCGCTCTCGGCCGATCCCCCGGTGCCTCCTATGACGGCAGCCGCGATTCTGCTGGAGTTGAAGGGGCCCCAGGACACACAAATAAATACACACAAATAAAAGCATTCCCCATGTTTTCCCATATTTTTTGAGTTTTTGTCTTCCCCCCCACTTCCCATATTTTCCCATATTTTCCAGGGAGTGGACGATTAATTGTGTCTGTGTGTTCTTTCCTCTCCTGAGGAGTGCAGGGGGCCCCCGCGAGGCACTCGGTGTCTGGCGCCACGCTGCACGGCGGAGGCCGCCGGCACAGACCGTCTTCCGCGGGGCCCGTTGCTTGCGGGGCCGTGCTGCGCCAGAGCGCAACACTCGCCATCGCTCGGACGTCCATTCCGTTTTTTGTTTTTGTTTTGTTTTCGCGCGTGGCTCTTTCGCCGAATGATCAAGGATGCTCCTCGATGGCCCTCGCCGAGAAAAAATGCACACGTCCGAGCGATGCCAGGAACAGCCTCCCACTTGAGAAGACTATGGGAGGCAAGTGGGCCGCGGACCGGCGCCGCCCTGGGCTGTTTCAGGACTCAGCCTCGCGGGGCGCTGGCCATGGGTGCGAAATCGTGTTCGGGGACCTCCTCTTCCAGCCTGGCGGCAATGTCGGGGACGATCAAGGCTCGCCTCCCTCGCTCCCGCGCCGTTCTGCCCGACGGCAGCGGCGGGGAGGATCGAGGCTCGCCTCCCTCGCTCCCGCGCCCGCCTCCTCCCATGCATCCTGCCTTCTCCTTACCCCACCTCGTTGAACGCCGTTTGGGGCACGACCGCGCTTCCCCGAACAACGCCGTGGCCCCAATGCTTCTTTACGTGCATGATGCGGGCAATGCACGCGCGGCCACCGATCATTCCAACATGGCTCGCGCACCGAGCATTGATGGCATGTGCTCCTCCTTCCTACTGCCCCACCCTCCTCATCCTTCTCGATTCTCTGGTCCGGAGGCGTGTGGTCCTTGGTAGCAGAAGCCATTTATCACCTCCTGGTAGTGCTCCGACAGCCAATTGCACTGAATGCCGTCGATGATGGCAAGGATGGGCGAGAAGATCTCAGCTTCCAAGAGGGCGCGCATGTCCCCGACGACCACGCCTGACAGGGCGTTGACGGTGGCGTCCACGCGCGCCATGGTGTTCTGGATGCGCTGGTCGAAGCCCGCAATGTAGTCCGAGAACTCTTCCAGAGTGCAGCTGACCTCCTTGCGCTTCAGGGTGCCGTCGCTCCGCACGCAGTCGTTGGACCAAACGTTCAGCACCGGGTTGGACTGCAGCATGTCCTTGATGTCGCACGGATCGCCAGAGTCGGTCTCGAAGACGTCGCACCTGAAGATGGAATTCTCCATCACGTCGTGCTTCTTGTTGAGCAAGAAATCATCAGCCTCGCAACGGTACGCGTCGACGGCTGACGAGCAATTGGCGCCCACGCTGATGCCGTCGCCGATTCCGGAGCAGGTGTCGTTCGGGAAGTTCAGGGCAACACCGTTGGCACCAGTCTCTGCGGCGGCGTACGCCTCGACCCCTGGCACGCTCCCCATGTAGTCACCGCACCTCACCGAGGAGGTGTAGCCCAGCCAGTCCACGGGCAGCGACGACACCCAGTCCTCCCCGCTGCCCTGGATCGCGGCCCGGTCGGTGATGATCTCGCCGCTCATGTCGGGGCCTTTGGTGCTCAGAAGGCTGCGAATGCCCACGACGAAAGGGTCGTTCTCGAGATCGCTCTGGGCGTTTTCCGATATCATCCGCCACCGTGCCATCTGGCACGCTGAGGCGTGGTAGACTGCCAGTTGCTGTGTGGAAAAGTTTCTGTACACGTCGGTCGGAAGAAGTAGGTAAACACATGAAGTAGGAAGGCGGATTAAGTAGATTGCGTCCAGGCTTTCCCAGAGAATAGCAAAACACGGCAAACGCATATCGATTCTTGAAGTGGGAAGGCGCTTGAAGTAGATTGGGACCTGGGGAAACCAAACAAGTACCTCCCTTTTCCAGCGACCGGCGTGCAATCTTCCGAGGGCCCCCCCCCTTCTCGGCAGAGCTTCGCTGCGTGCACCGACCCCCGCCCCTCCCAAGGCTTCCTGGGCGCCCCGACGCCTCCCTGTGGCTCTCCAGGCCTCCGCTGGGATGCCACGACGGCCGTCCCGAGGTGGCCCCAAAGGCGTCCCAGGTGGCCTCGAGACAGCCCCAGGAGGTTCCACGACGGCCCAAGAGGGCTTCAAGAGGACCCCCAGGAGGGCCCGAAGATGCCAAAGCCATTGATCTGCTTCGTGGCTTTGGAAATGATTCGCGCGTTCTGATATTTTTGGGCCCCCGTCAGCCCTAGCACGGCCCAAAGACCCAAAGTCGTCCCCAAGAGGCCTGCAAGAAGCCGCAAGGGGCCCAAGAGGGGAGGGAAGAAGAGGAAAGGAGGAGCACGATAACGAACACGAGGAGAGACACCCCAGCACGCAGTGGAAGAGCGTGTCGAATTGCACGGCTCCCTGTGCGCTCCTCGAACAGTCGCCACCCAGAGTGCCGGGCTTGCACGGTGGCGGGACTTGCCGCAGGCAGGTGGATATCCGCCACATCTTCGAACTTGGGCATGATTCTGCCCTCGAGTTCTCCGATTAGCTGCTCCCTCATCGTCATCCTCGTGCCGTTCTCGTCTGTGGTGAAGAAGATGTCCGCGAGATTCGCGGCTTCGGTGGGGTCAACAGGGTTCAGGCATTTGTCCACGACGTCCGTCATCATGACAAAAGTGTCGCTCTCGGGATCGATCGTGAGGTCCAGGGTGCTGCGGATGTCCCGGATCATGTTCCCGTCGACATCGTCCAGGACCAGACATACGCTGCTGAGCGGGACAGCGAGCACTTCGATAAAGCCGCCCCAGAGGAAGCAAGACAAGCAGAGCAGCCAGGCGCACATCCAGACGCAGCACGCGCT